CAAGACTCCCAGAAGCTCTTTTTTTTTTGGCTTGAAGCAACAATGATCATTTTATTTCTTTTTTCCTTTCTTTTTTTTAAAATGGAAACATAACTGATTATACATATCTGTGGGGTACAAGTTGAACATTAATACCTGTGTACAATACGTGATGACCAAATCAGGATAATTATATACTCATCTTTGCAAAACGTAATCATTCTTTGTGACCCTTAACCAATTTTTTGCTAGCCCTCCTCCCCCTCCCGCTTTCCCATATCTAATAACCAGAGTTATGATGTTTTCTCCTTTTGAAAGTTCAACATATCATTATGATCTTTTCTTTCTTTCTTTTCTTTTCTTCCCCTCTTTCTTTTTTTTTATTTTTCAGCTGCCACTTATGAGTGAGGACATGCGACATTTCTCTTCTTGTGTCTGGCTTATTTCACTTACCATAATTTCCTCCAAGTTCATCCATATTGCTGTGAATGGCAGAATTTCATTCTTTTTATGGCTGAGTAATATTCCATTGTGTATCTATACCACGTCTGGCTTATTTCACTTACCATAATTTCCTCCAAGTTCATCCATATTGCTGTGAATGGCAGGATTTCATTCTTTTCATGGCTGAGTAATATTCCATTGTGTATCTATACCATATTTTCCTTATCCAATTATCCATCGATGGACATTTAGGTTGGTTCCAACTCTTGGCTACTGTAAATAGAGCTACAATAAACATGGGAGTGCAGGTATCCCTTCAACATGATGATTTCCATTCTTTTGGGTATACACCCAGTAGCGAAATGGCTGGATCCTATCGCAGTTCTACCTGTAGTTGTTTGAGGAACCTCCATACTGTTTCCCATAATGGCTGCATTAATTGACAGTCACATCAACAGTATAGGAGTGTTCCCCTTTCTCTGCATCCTTAACATCATTTATTATTCTGTCTTTTGGATAATAGCCAGTCTAACTGGGGTGAGATGATATCTCAATGTGTTTTGATTTGCATTTCCCTGATGCTTAGTGATGTTGAACATTTTTTCACATATCTGTTGGCCATTTGTATGTCTTCCTTTGAGAAATGTCTATTCAGCTCCTTTGCCCATTTTTTAATCAGGTTAGTTGTTTTTTTACTGTCATGTTGTTTGACTTCCTTGTATATTCTGGATATTAATCTCCTGTCAGATGTATAGTTTGCAAATATTTTCTCCCATTCAGTAAGTTGTCTTTTCACTCTGTTGATTATTTTCTTTGTTGTGCAGAAGTTTTTTTAGTTTGATATAATCCTATTTGTTTATTTTTTCTTTTGTTGCCTGTGCTTTTGAGGTCTTTATTCATAAAATCTTTGCCCAGTTCTACATCCTGAAATGTCTTCCTTGTGTTTTCTTCTAGGAGGTTTATAATTTTAGGTCTTATACTTAAGTTCTTCATCCATTTTGAGTTGATTTTGGTATATGGCGAGAGGTACTGGTCTAGTTTCATTCTTCTATACACGGATATCCAGTTTTCCCAGCACCGTGTATTAAAGAGGCTATCCTTTCTCCAATGCATGTTCTTGGTGCCTTTGTTGAAGATCAGTTGGCTTAAGTATGTGGGTTGATTTCCAGGTTCACTATTCTGTTCCATTTGTACAGGTGTCTGTTTTTATGCCAGTACCATGCTGTTTTGGTTACTATAGCCTTGTAGTATAATTTGAAGTCAGGTAGTATAATGCCTCTGGCTTTATTTTTTTTGCTCTGGATTGCTTTGGCTATTCAGGGTCTTTTGTTGTTTTGTATGAATGTTAGTACTGGCAATCAGGGAAGAGAAAGAAATAAAGAGCATCCACATTGGAAAAGATGAAGTCAAATTGTTCCTGTTTGCAGATGACATGATCCTATGTATGGAAAAACCTGAGACTCTATGAAAAAATTCCTACAGCTATTGAATGGATACAGTAAAGTTGCAGGATACAAAATCAATATATAAAAGTCAGTAGAGTTTTTATACTCCAACAATGAATTAGCGGAAAAAGAAATCAAGAAAGCAAGCCCATTTACAACAGCGACCAAACAAAACAAAACAAAACCTATGAATAAACTTAACCAAGGAGGTGAAAGATCTCTACAACGAGAACTACAAATCACTGCTGAAAGAAATTAAAGAGGACACAAAAAGATGGAAAGATATTCCATGCTCATGGATTGGAAGAATTAACATTCTAAAAATGTCCACACTACCCAAAGTGATCTGTAGATTCACAATGTGATCCTCATCAAATCCCAGAATCTTTGACCACTGACTTGCCTGAGGAGAGGAGGCAGGAGCAGCTCACCCTGACAAGTCTTTTCTGGATCTGTAATTGCATGATTCACAGTTCACAGCCTTCGGCACCCCTACACCTTTCCTGTCGTCCTCCACAAAAATCTGTCACATAATAAGACTTGGTCTACCAGCAAACTGACTTATCTGGACCCTGGCTTTGAAAAGTGCTGAAGAGAACAGCCCCAGGTAGTGGTCGTGAGTGCTTCTCTGGCTATCGGCTTGGGTCTCAGAGGCAAAACAGACTTGTATTCAAATCCTAGTTCTGCCAACAACTCTGCCTTCTCTAAGCCTCAGTTTCCTTATCTGCGAATTGGAGATACTATTTCAAAGACTAACAACTGATATAATGTAGGAAAAGTGCTTAGTATATGTTTTAGTCCATTCTGTGTTGCTATAACAGAAATACCTGAAACTGGGTAATGTATAAAGAACAGAGGTTTATTTGGCTTACGATTCTGGGACAGCGGCATCTGGCACAGGCCTCAGGCTGCTTCTACTCATGGTGGGAAGTGGCAGGCTGCTGGTGGGTACAAGCAGATCACATGGCGAGAGGACGCAAGACAGAGAGAGAGAGGAAGTACCAGGGTCCTGTAAACAACTAGCTCTCATGGGAACTAATGGAGTGGGAACTCACTCATTACTCCCCCCACCTAGGGAGAGCACTAATCCATTTATGAGGGATCCATCCCCATGACTCAATCAGTTTCCAACACTGCCACATTGGGGATCAAATTTCCACATGAGTTTTGGAGGGGACAACACATTCAAACTCCATCAGTATACAACTGGCAATACAGTCAAGGGCCAATAGTCCACAGCTGTTATTGGTGTTGTTATTGTTATTAGCTGGTGATCTCCAGTGGGTGCTCTATACACAGGTCTGACCTTTTCTATGAAACTTCCCCTAGTTACCAAGTGCAATGACCTTCCCCGATTACAAGAAAAGATTTTCCTTTTCTGAGTTTGCGCAGGCTTCATTCCAGCACTTAAATGTGCACTTTACTGTACTGTTACGTGTCTCCTGCATATGCCTCTTCCTGTCCCCCTGCCCTAGATGAGCCTGCCAGCTACTTGAAGGCCTGGCTCAGGCTGTACACTGGTTCTGCATCACAGTGCTCCCCTCTCCCACCATGCTCGGCTTCAGATGGTTTGCATACAGCACAAATAAACAAATGGTTGCTGAAGAAATGAATGTGTGAGGTGAACACATAATTTTTTCAGGTCTACACACATTTGGTATTTACAATGTAGAGCGACAAGTAAATGGGAAATAAGATTTGGGTTTTATCCCCCACTCTGCAAGTGAATTACTGAGCAGCCTAAGGCTGGGTGTCTACAAAATGCAGCAACTGCCACCTGCCTCCCTCTCAGGACTCAATGAAGACAGACTAGGCTTTTAAAAAGCAATGGTAAAACACAGTCAGATCCTTGATGTTAAATAAGAAAGCATCTGGGTTTTGATGGTAACAAATGGATCTCATTCCCTTTTAGCATTTGTAGCTCCTATTCTACAAAACAAGGAAAATAAAATAGGCCTTAGCCCTTTTAAATCTGATTTCCAGAGACAGAGATGCCAAAACCTCCCCTAGTAACTCATTCCAATGCCAGGAAATTTCTCAAAGGCTAATCTAAATTCCTTTTCTCCTTTTACACTCACTTTCCTTTGTCCACAGCCAAGTGAGATCAACAATAGCTCTGATCACCATTATACAGTCATCATCTTTACTCTTAATAATCTTTATTTCACTCTCCTTTCCAGTAGTCAATTTAGACTAGAGGTGACCCTTTCGTCCCCATCAATTCTCTTTCTTTTTCATTATTCCTCCTCCTCTTTCTCAATCTCCTAAACCCCAGGCCTCCCAGCAGTGTCCACGTCAGCTGGCCTGCCAGCTCTGTACGAGTCACCCCTAGAGAAAGATGCAGTGACAGCCCAGTGCACAGACACCTTGATTAGAATCCAACAGTCCTACCCCTGTTTGTACCACTGATTCGCTACAGGAGCTGGAGCAAGGCTAGCTTAGCCTTTTTGTGATTCAAGGACAATTACTCCCATTGTATATCTGTTATAAGGACTCGTCACCTTTACGATGGTAATTATAGCATGGTTAACATGAACATTAGTTATGATCTTGGGAACACTCTGAATTCCTGAGAGAAAAGGTCCTGGGTTAGTATAAGGTGGTGAAATTTCAGAAGGCAGAAAATATGTCCCTCCGAATAACAGGGCAGAGAAAACAAATGTGAAAATGGTATGAGATGGTGGTTTTCAAATGTCTTTTAGCAGTGAAGACCTCTTTTCAAATGAAACTTTCACTGGACTCCCACCCCTAAACCACATGAAAGTGGAGCTGCTCTGGTTGAAAGGCAGGGTATGGTGGGGATGGTTTGGAGCCAGGACCCACGCTTCCTCCTCCTCACCCATTCCTCTCCCCTGCTGAAGGGGTGGTCCCTGCAGCATCCACAAGGAGCCTCTAGGCTTCCATGGGGCAGTCTGAAAACCATGAGTGAAAGAGGGATGCAGAAAGAGCCCGAATTTACATAATATAGTAAAAGGGGATGGCAACTCCACCTTAGGGCCTTGAAGGACCATATGGCCAACACATTTGTGTATCAATGGTCCCATTCACTACTTTTGTCTGTCTAGTCTATCTACATGTTTCTTAGTCTTGATTTTTCACGTATATATACTCTATCATAGTTAATACATTTTTCTAATGCATCTCAAAATCTTTGCGGAGTAAGTTGGTGCCTGGATTTGTGCACACAGCTCTAGGAAGAGAGAGGCACAGCATCTCACATAATGACAACTGTATTCATAGGGTGTTGCTTGACTTGCTATATGACCACCATTCTGAAAGGTGCTATGGTACTTTATTGTGTTTTGTATACGCTGTCTTGTAACAGTACAAATGAAAACTAAATACTCTCTGAAAACTAAATACTCCAAGATTTTTAAGTAGAGCTTTAAAAATAAAGCTTTACTATAAGAAGGCTGCACTTTTCCCTGAAAAATGAAAGGTATTCTAAATACCACTTATAAGATATTAAACATGAATGGTCTAATTTGTCTGTTTACTTCTAATCATGCTCTTATTAGGAAGAGGGGCAGTAATAAAAGCACTTTTCTAAGTGAGATTTCTGTGAACATTTAAATTATAGGACTGCTTGGTTAGCTCAGCTGGTTAGAGTGTGGTGTTATAACACCAAGGTCAAGGATTTGGATCCCTATGCTGGCCAGCAACAAAAAAAAATTAGTTAAATAAATAAATAATAAAACAGCCTGCTGACTTACAAAAATGCAGCTTTGTGTAAATTTGACTATGGGCTATTAAAATTTCCTAAATGATCTACAGAAAAATAAAACATATTTAAATTTCCATCAATTTGAAAGACTCGAGAGGAAAAACATCTGAAGTTCAAACAATGGTAGGATATAATTTTTATGATTTTTAAAGGAATATTCATAACTTGGAAGGGAAAGGCTGGTGAAATATTTAAGAATTAGGGAGGCAATTCTTTTCCTAGTTCAGGAAAATTATAGTTCTTAAAGAGGACACTGAAAATTAGCTCTTAGTTGATACATATTCACTACGACTGGGTTTCTAAAGACTCTCTTTCCTTTTTGTTTCTGAAGAGACTCAATTCTTTCAGAATTTGAAGAATAGCTTTCGTGGCCCAAAGTTCTAAGGTAGGGGTCTGCAAAGTAAAGCCTGGGAGGCCAGATCAGACCACCTATCTTCCCCTGGCTGGAGCTAAGAGTGATGTTCTACAATTTCAAAAGGACTGGAAAAAATCAAAAGAAGAAAAATATTTCTTGATATGTAAAAATCATATGAAATTCAAATTCTGGCATTTATAAATAAAGTTTTATTGGAACTCAGCCATGCCCATTCATTTACATTTTGTCTATGGCTGCTTTCCAGTTATGATGGAAGAGCTGAGTAGCTGCGACAGAGACGGTATGGCCTGAAAGCCTAAGATATTTATACAGTCTGGCGTTTTACAGAAGAAATCGCCAATCCCTGACCTAAGAGATGAAACCCACCCTAGGTCCCCTCTACGTGGTAGGAGATGTACCTGGTTGAGCGGGCGCAGGTGTCTGTCAAGACAGCAGTAGCAGCAGTAGCAGCATCTGGATGCGTGGCTCGACCATGCACTGCGCTGCTGGGATCAGGTTCAGACCCAAGGAGCAGAGCGAAAAACAACACAGGAAAGAAGGTTTAAGCAGGCGGTTTCTGAGGAGACCTCACTTTGTCTCCATCGCAGACTTCGCTTCTGCGTCAACGCAAGAGCCACTCTCTCAGTACGGGAGAAGTCCCTCTGTCCCACGCACGCTACTCCCGCTGACCACTGTTCCTACCGACCAGTGAAGTGTCTCTCCTGTGCACTTACCTGTTAGGGCGGCTGTTAACCTCAGCAGAAGGGGAAACGGCTTAGTCTGTATTCAGTGGCAGAGGAAAAGTGGGCTTCTGGTTCTACTAAAAAGAACCTCTTTCCTCTTCATCGGCCCCTCAGTGTCTTGAATGGTGCACTTTGCTTTTTCAAACCAAAGTTTATATTCATGAAAGATTCACATCCCAGAGAGAAAAAGCAAATAATATATTGCAGATACTAGTTATGTGCCCACATAAATAAAGAATCAAGTTTAACTTTGGGGAAAATAAATCCTATAGTGAGACTTTCAGGGCTAAATTTCAAGGGATAAATTAGTCCTTTGAAATATAACTTGAATTTGTGCATAACTCAAGAATGAATAATTTAATGAAACTCTTGAGGGAGGGGCGATTGACCGCATCCTACTCACTGCCCAGAGTGAAAAAATCTCTGAAAAAAAATCCTTAAATAGCCTGCTTGAGGACCCCAGGAATAACTCAGCCTTATATGGACAATTTCTTGTCCCAATGTTAATTCAATTGGATGAAACTTGATCTGGATACTTTTCAGCATGGCTGTGGTTGTGAATGAGCCTATTTAATGTAGGCAAGATCTCACAGTGGCTGTGTGAAATGTTTAAATTGTAGACACAGTACTGGGCAGTAAGGCTGCTGAAGAATACAGTTTTTTTTTAACCTCAGAAAGGACACATTTCCCCAACAGTGACATCACTAAAAGGGAGTTTGGCCCCTCAGTCCTTATGGGATCTGGGGAGTGATGAATAATCTTTTAGACCTTAGTCAGAGAGACCTTGGGTCTTCCACTGACTTCTCTTTTAGATTTATGGAAGGCTGTTTCCCTGAAGAGTTTAAGATGCCTAGCTGTACAAGGGAGAGCAAACTCCCTGCTGCTCATTAATTTGTGATTATCTATTACTAATGCATATATATAAATCGCATATATGTTTCTGTCTGATATATATGCATTAGTAATGGATAACTTTTGATTATCTATTACACATATATGTTTGTGTAATATGTGTGTGCGATATATATAAATTATATATAAATTATCTGTTAAATATATACATTATATATAATTATCTATTTATATATAATTTATATGTCACACACAAACATATATATGTATATACATTATCTATTTATATATATATATATATCACATGCAAACATATTTAAACTAAAAAGCTATTCTGTTGTTCAAGAAATCTTTCTCCAAGTTTCCTAAGATCATTGATCCTAAGGATCAATTTCAAAATGCAGGAGCCAGAAATAGCTAGATTTGCCCTGGATGTGGAAAGGCCTCTNTATATATATATATATATCACATGCAAACATATTTAAACTAAAAAGCTATTCTGTTGTTCAAGAAATCTTTCTCCAAGTTTCCTAAGATCATTGATCCTAAGGATCAATTTCAAAATGCAGGAGCCAGAAATAGCTAGATTTGCCCTGGATGTGGAAAGGCCTCTTTAAGTCACCAAAATGTAACCAGGCAAGATTTTACTAGAAATACAAGAAAATATTCTATGATCAGGGGCAACTGCTTGGCATGCATTTCAAGATAAAGAAGCCAGATAATTTTATGTGAAATTCATTTAATAGTTCCTAACTGATATACTGACCATGATTATGAAATACTTTTGATTACAAATTTTAAAATATCAACAATTATTTTCTGTTTAAAACAGCAAGCAAATCCCAGTTCTAAACACGATATAAACCCATGTATAAAATGTCCCCAATTTACTAAGGACACATAGCTATACCCAAAAGGTTGGAATCAGATAAGTTTGTGAAACTCTGACCAAGTCACCAACCCTGAGGTGGGGATGGGGGAGAGATTAACATTGTGTGAGAACAGAAAATCTGGGAAAAGTCCAATCTTCCCTTGTTTGGCAGGCCAGAAGTACCATGAGAACAGCTGTTTTCCTGGTGTTCTGGTTTCCACTGGCATTCATAACCAAATGTGCATGGAAATAAAAACCAGGGAGGATAAAACCTCCAGGCACAAAAGCCCCACAGTTTTCTGTCCTTTGAGCTGAGATGTAGGTCAGCTTGCCCGTTGCTCACTCTCGAGCGTGTGGGTGCAGACACACACACACACTCATTCAGACTCTCCCTCCCTTCCTCCCCCCACACTAGCAACTTCCCATGGTATCCTCTGGCAAACGCAAAAGGCAGGGAATACTTTTAGCATTAAAACAGAAACAAATATTATCCCTATCTTCTAGTGTTTTTTCTTACTTTAAAAGAAAAAAGCATGATAAATATCCACAAAAACCTGTTTAAATTTCACCTTAAAAATTCATCTCATTTGTTCAACATTTAAATAAGAAGGAAAACCAGCTGACTCTGTCCCCACCCCACCTCCATCTCCAAGTTGGAGAAAACCCAATGAACGTGACCATAAACAAAACAGACTAAGGGAAAAAAGCTTGCTGGGGGGTGGGGGTGGGACTTGAGGAGCACAGGAGTCTTCTGAGTGGCCGTGGTCACAGGTCACATTCCTGTCCTGGGGCCCGCTGTAGTTTTCCAGTAATTAACTTCTCCACAACCCAAAAAGAGAATACACTATGTATTAGGGTGCTGCCTTACCTTCTCTTTCAGAGCGTTATAAATGTGCATGAGAATGATTCTTGGAATCCTCACCACAGTGATTAAAAATGAACCTTTCACAACTGTTCCTTGATGGTAGCAGAAAAGAATAGAGAGAGACGAAAGGATGGGATGATCAGGAGGGTCATTTTTATTTCTGGGAATAGGAAAAAAGACAGCATTTAAAAAACACTACTTAAAAAGTAACAAAAAACTGCTTTCTGGTTCAAATCATCCACAGTACCAACAACTTGCAGAGCAGGGATGCAATAAGCATTTGGCAAAAATGTTATACTCCTTTGGGAGCTAAGGTTAAGTTATTTCTTGGACTAATTTAATCCCTTTTGGTGGCACTCAACGCTACATACAAATACCAAACAGAAAAAATTAAAAAAAAAATAATGATGACTTAAAATAGACAAGTTTCCCTCTTTACAACTCCTACCCCTTTTACCAATCCTTTAAGTTGCCTATTAATCTCATTTTTATTTTCAAAAGTTTAATCATACCACAACGTTCAAAGTTCAAATTACACAGGAGCATACATAAATATTGTGGCATAAGCCTGGAGATTAAAATCATCACCAAGTCACATGACCATGACCAGCGGCCAGAGAAGTAACAGTGAGCTCAGGCTTCACAGGAAGGGGTGCAGAGCCCTGGCTGTTTTGGCTTTGGCACAGCCCTAGGCTCCCAAAGTCCAGCTGATTTCTACTCTGCTCTTTAAAGGTCACTTCAGTGTGAATCATTTACGGGACTTGTCATGACACAGCTCCCAAGAATGTGTACAAGTCAGTTTCACAGGCAGGGGAAAAAAGTGAAAGAGAACGGAACGGGCACAGCCCTCACCCTGCCCCCAAACTGAACGAACAAAAGAGGACGTCTGCTGGAGCCCCTGGGTGACCCGCTGCATCCCCACTGATGCCAGTTCTAGAAAATGAGGCCCTTTCCGAGAAGCAGCTTCATGGGTTCCAAGTGAAGCTTGGTGTCTTCATAACGGATTATTCTACAACTTGCTCTGGTACAAATAAGTCACGATGAATTAAAGTTTTGACAACAGCCTAGGTTTTGAGGGAGGAAAGGGAATGCAGCCAGAAATGTTTCCAGAGTTGGCAATGACTATATTTCGCTGTTACTTAAATCATCCAGGAAGAAAAAGAGAACATGAAAGTAATGTCGGGAGCAGAACAACTGCAACCCAGTTGTCCCACAAAAAGGTGACGTGTGCTTCAACCCAATATTAATTAAAATAGGAAAGACCACGGAAACTGCTGCTGACAGAAAATCACTGTGATGTGATAAACCAGAAAAGCAGTGTAGGACAGGAAAATCTGACATGTTTTTTCCCTTTCCTCATATATTTTTTTTCATTTTAAAGGATGAATGTTTACTTTTCCATTGAGGAGATTTATGTGCCTTAGAACTGATTATGGTGCTCAAGAGGGGATGCGGGGAGGAGAGGACAACACCTGCTTTCCATCTGGCAGGGACACAAATGATTCATGGGCCACTGCAAATGAGGCCTTAGAGTCTGGCCCTCCAGGTACTGAAGTTTGGGGTTAGGCAGCAGCTTTCTGAGGTTTCACTGCGATAGGATTAATTAACCCTTACAGGCGGGGGAAGGTCTGTACTGCCTTGACTTCTCTAGTCCATAACACATCCTGGTCCTGACTCGAGGTTCTGCAGGGCTTGGCTGGAAGAAGGTGCAGAGGTTCCAGAAGCTAGGTGATCACATGATGAGAGAGGGAGCTGAAAAAGGAGGCCCTTTCAACCCAAGCCAGCTCACGGAGCCAAGAGTCACTCAACACCTGCCCTCAAAACTAGAGACAGCCCTAGAGAAAAGGCTAGATAAGTGGAGTGTCTTGGATCCCCACCTTCTCTTCTGGACCCTTCTCCCCATTCAAAGGTAACATCATCCTCTCCTCCTCGCTGTGCATGTGGCTCATGCCTTCAGCTCCACCGCCCCCACACCCAGCAAAACCTTCACAAAGAGGATCTGATTCGCCCAATAAGGCTGAAAATAATACTTATGTCTGGACTTAACCATTTTTCGAGAATTGACCTAAGGGATGGCACTTCAGTGTTGAGCATATTGGGCAGCTCAGTGATGAGTTTAATAGGAGGCTGGGGAGGACTGGGCCTCCAGCAAGGCTTACTCATCTGTTTCCAGGGAGTACTGAGTGCTGAATACCTTCCCGCTGGGACACATCCACCCCAATTCTGTGGGTGGTGGAAGTAAGGACAATCCAGTCAGTGTGAGAGGGTAAGGTGACTCCAGGATGTGCCCCATGAAGCCTAGCTTCCCCCTTCTTTTAAACTTGTGGCTGCCTTGAGAGCTAACGGTACCTGGCTTCATACAGGAAGCCGGGTCCCCAGAACACCGCATCAGTCCAAGTCCTCAGGCAAAGGGTTGAATGGTCCCATCCATGCAAGTCCTATAGAAACTTTGGGTCATGGTACATAAGTACTGCTTGCAACTAGTTCCATTGGACAACACCGAGCAGAAAGCCAAGCAAGCAATTTCAGGGTCCAAGGAACACGTTTTAGCTCTGGTTAGATCCAGGCCTGTTGTTCACTACAAAGTCTTCAAACATCACGGAGAATTAATTTTGTGTGAAGGCCCCTGGACAAGGTCTGGGCTGCATGCAATGGAATTGGCCTCTAATGTAAAGCTGGTACCAAGTGAAGGAAAATTGTACGGTCCCCACAAACACCATGTCTCTTTCTGATATTTCTTTCAGCAAAATCACTGCAAGATGGATTGGGAGGGCCATGAGGAAGCTGTAAGGTCCACCCTCCGATCCTACAGAAAATGGCAATTGTCTTTATTATAAAGGATAGGATTCTTTAGCTGTCCTGGGTAACTCTTGCTAGGGTTAGGAAATTCATCTATTTTAACCTAAATTCTTTAGGCTCTGCTAGAATCCATCTCCTCACTTCTTCCTCAGCAGATCCAGAACAGCTGGAAACCATCTTTTGTATATTTGAAAATGATGATGAAGTCATGCCCCAGGCGTCCGTTCTCCAAGCTGAACAGTTCTAGCTCCTTCCTGTCACATCCCTTACAGTATCTTCATGATTATCAGTTGACCCCTCTTCAAGCAAATGGTTGTAAAAGGTAAATTTTACAGGTTGCCCATAGCCTGGTACTTGGTGGTCTTTGTATGAACTCTTCAGCCCTCTTAGTGCTTAGCCGAAGGACGAAGATGAATGCACTCTGGCTGCATTTAATCCTCATCCTATGTGCACAAGTCAGAACACGGCATTAAAGAATTGTGAACTCTGAGATAAGGAAAAACCTTGAGGTTTCAAAATTAGGCAGAAAGTCAAAAAGAAGGCAGAACTCTTTAATAAATGAAATAGTAGTGCTAAAAATAAATCATGTGTTTTCTTTTCTTTTTTTTTTTTTGTAAAAGAAATATGTAAGCATCTTAAAAAGCCAAGTAGTACTGCTAGGCTTAATAGGAAAAACAGCAGTTTTTTCCCTCCATTCCTAATTTTCTTTCCCTAGAGATAATACTTTAGCTCTTTCTTCTGGAACTCACCTCCACATTTCAAAATTACATGTTCTTACTGCTATTTCTTGAATTTTTCAGCTTCAGATACTCTCTGCTGACTTCCCACTATGGAAGATTCAGGTTTCATTTTCTTACAGAGCCTAAATTGTGCACCCCACCCCCCTTTTAAATTTTCCCATCCCCCTTTCATCCTAATATAATTACATCAAAGCTTTTAGTTAATGCTTACATTATTTTTAGCTAGTGTTTATATTATTAGTACATAAGAAATATGTACTGTGAATCACATTCAAAACTGATCCAAGCAGCATATTCTGATATTTCCTTTCCTGTGTAACTTTTGGTTTTTCCTGAAGTTAGTAATTGTTTCACATTTTTTACCTACTTAGTTTTCTATGGGCTTCACTAAATGCTTCACTGAAGTTTAAGTCTTCTCAACATGTTGTTCAAACACACCTGGTATTCTCTGTTTCATTTTCTTTTCTTGGAGACATCCCTCCTGGAGCCCACTGCCCTCCAGCTCCCCCTTGGACTGCATGTTCTCTACGCCTGCTCCAGACCTGCCTCCCTGGGGATTCCCTTCTCTTTTCTGTGCTGGAACCCATTTTCTGAAACTCATGTTTCCTCCCTGGAAAACTCCCTGAAACTCATTAGTTTCAGTGGAGGAACAGCCTTCTGGAAAGGATGTGGGGAGGAAAACCTTTTGACACTTTGCATGTCTGAGAATGACTTTTTCCTCCTTTACCAGTAGTCGGAATAGGTATAGAACTCTAGGTTGGAAATAATCTTTCATTAGAATTTTCACAGCCTTGCTCCACTGTTTTCCTGGTTCAGAGTTGCTGTTGAAAGTCAGATTTCATTCTTGTTCTTGATCTTTTTTTTTTTGAGTCAGATTTAGCAGTGAGAGTGTTTTATACCAACTTTACTGAGACTAATGTTAATAATAGTTCTTGATCTTTTGCTTGTGATTTTTTTTTTCCCTTGAGAAGCTTCTGGGATCTTCTGTTTACTTATGTCCTCTAGCCCTGGGAAATTTTCTTTGATAATTTTCTCCTTTTTTCTTTTTTTTTTCTTTCTTCTGTTCTCTATTTCTGGAACTCATGCTAGTCAGATGTTGGGTCTCCTAAATTTATCCTCTAACTTTTTATCCTTTCTGTCCTATTTTCCATCTCTTCTTGTTCTACATTCTGAAAGAGTTTTCAATTTTATATTTTAATCCTTCATTAGAACATTTTTATTTTTGCAATCATATCTTTAATTGCTAAGGGGTCTTTCTTGTTCTTTCACTATTCCTTTTTGGGGGGTTTATGGATGCAATATTTTTCGTTCTTTCTGATAATATCATAGTTTTGTTTTTTGTAGTTTTCTTTTGCAGCCTTTATTGTCTCCATTTTCCCTAAATCCTTTTGTTTGTTTTGCTCATTTTGATCTCTTTCTTTCACTAGAGGCTTCTTTAAGTATTTAATAATCACTGGTGAGCAGTTCAAATTTAAGAGTGAGCCTGTAAAGAGAGACCTGGGGGGTGGGAGCTCTGTGTGAGGGGCTTCTGTGTGGGAATCCATTTCATTGGGGGCCCCCATGTGGCACCATCTTTAAGTCTTTACTTTGGGTTAGACGGTTTCTTCTGAGAAGAATCCTCTAGCCTCTTCCTGGGGGATATCAATCTGGCTGCCCACATCGTGGGAGCTGAGCCATGGAATGTGGGGTATTGGTGGGAGGGGGGTGGTCCTCACTATTCAGCATTTAGACTTTTGCTTACTCCCTCTACTTCAGTACGGAGCCTCGCCCCAGCCTCAGCTTTGCCAGATACTCCAAATCCAGATCCTCTCTGATTTACCTTTCCAGAGAGTAAAGCTCCCTTCTTCTGCTGGTATGGAGGAGGGGACCTGGGGGTCTAT